AGATTATATAATACAGACAAATTACATGCGGGCACTATTCCACCTGTTTATATCTGTATAAGATTAACTTTTTTCCAAAATTACGACGAGCACCCCCCTCGGCAGGCCCTTTTTTTTCCAGCCATCGAGCAATAACACCATTGGGCAGGAAAGAAATCACTAATGTTTCCAATTTTGTTATAGAGGTTATACATTGTACTCCCATAGGAGCATACTTTGCATCTACTCCTTTGGTCAAAACATGTAGTATATTTATTCTTTTAGTCTAAAATTTTGGGAACCATATGCAAATTTTTAGATGATTATTTTTAAAAATAATAATTTAAATTTTGAGTTTTGTGATACTTAGATCGAGCCACTAAAATATTGAACGATCTCTATTCAATCTCTAGCCATTATCTCTTTCTAGACATTGAGATTTTACCTTTCTCTTTTTTATATATAATACAGACAAAATACAAGCGGACACTATTCCACCCTTTTATTATTGTATAAGAAAATATTTTTATCCAAAATTACAACGAGTACCCCATCGACGGTTTTTTTTTTTTTTTTTTTTTCTCCCAGTAACTGCCCAGCAATATTGCAATAACGACACTGGGCAGGAAAGAAATCACTAATGTTCTCAAATGTTTTATAGAGGGAATACAATGTGATCCTGTAGGAGCATACTGTGCATCCCTTGGTCAAAACATGTAGCTTTATTGATTCTTTTTGTCTAAAATTTTGAGAACCATACATGAGTTACTGGATGATTATTTTTAAAAACAACAATTTGAAACACTTAGATCGAGTCATTAAAATATTGAACGGTCTCTATTCAATCTCGATGCATTATCTCTTTCTATTACATAGAGATTTCATCTTTATTTTTATTTTTCTTTTTTACTGAGATTATTCTATGCGTTGAAGAGATTATATTCCCAAAATTTGAGATCTAAAAAGTATATTTTGCTTGAAAGAGTAAATAGATAATATACTCCCATGAGACTCTGGTTCTCCTCGCTCCTCTCCCTCCTGTCCAATGTTGTTATTTACAGGACATGTCGGAAGTTGAAGGCGACAGGGGGGGGACATAGTGTTTGTAATATTACAGGACGTATGGTAATAAAGGGGCGGACATAGTGTTTGTACGTAATTTTTTCTATAATGTATAATAATATAACAATATACGTTAGCTATAGATGATAAAAAATGCTTCATTAATATTGCTACATCTCTGCGTTTTAGTTTAGTACGAGCTATCCTCATAAAAAGAGAGATGGTTCTCCTACATAAAAGTGATAAAACACTGGGGACCTGTTTGGTTTGCGTTAAATAGTTTTCTTGTGGTAAATTAATTTTTTAAGAAATAGATTTTTTAGAATTAAATTTCACTTAGCTTTTTTTTTCTTATGTTTGGTAATAATGTTAGATTTCATATGAAATTGTTTTTTTCCGTTTGGTAAATTATTTAGGAATCTACCATCCTGAAATCTGGAATGCAAGCTATTTTTAACTTTTAGTTGTTTTTTTGTTTTTTAACAATATTTTTAACTTTTAATTGTTATTACAGATATTATTGAGAAGGCACTTAAAATTATCTAATGGATACAATATCTTAAAAATTACCCATTATGAGATGACTATTAAGAAACCCAATATCGCTAAAAATCCAATCACTCTCTCTCTCTAAAACTCATTCTCTCTTTTAGAAATCTAATCTCTCTTTCTATCTCTAAAAGCTCATTCTCTCTAGAAACCCATACTATCTTTCTCTTTCAAAAAACTCAATTCTCTTTTTTTCTATCTAGAAACCCAATTTCTTTCTCTTTTTAAAAGTTTATTCTCTCATCCTCTCTCTAAAAACTTATTCTCTCTCTCTAAAAACCCATTCCTTCTCTAGAAATTCAATCTCTCTTTTTATCTCTAAAATACATTCTCTCTCTAGAAACCCAATATCTCTTTCTCTCTAAAATCCCATTCTTTTTCTAAAAATCCAATATCTCTCTCTTAAAACCGTTTTTCTCTATTTCTCACTCTAAAAACCGAATCTCTTTTTAGAAACTCAATCTCTCTTTCTCTTTCTAAAAACTCCATTCTCTTTTTCTCTCTAAAAATTCATTCTCTCTCTATAAAATCCCAATCTCTCTCTTTAAAAACATGTTGTCTCTCACTCTAGAAAGTCAGTCTCTCTCTCTCTCTCTCTAAAAGCTCATTCTCTTGCTCTAAAAATCTAATCTTTCTTTCTCTCTCTAAAAATCCATTCTCTTTCAAAAAACTCAATCTCTCTTTCCCTCTCCTAAAAACTCATTCTCTCTCTCTAGAAACTCGATCTCTCTCTAAAAACCCATTCTTTCTCTAGAAACCCAATATCTCTTTCTCTCTCTAAAAACTTATTATTTTTTTCTTTCAAAAAATTCTCTCTTTAGAAACCCAATCTCTCTTTCTCTATCTAAAAACCGATTCTCTCAATCTAAAAACTCAATATCTCTCTTTATAAACTCATTCTTTCTAGAAACTCAATCTATCTTTCTCTCTCTAAAAACCCATCATCTCTCTAAAAACCCATCTATTTTTCTCTTTAAAAACCTATTCACTCGCTCTCTCTAGAAACCCAATCTCTCTTTCTAGAAATCCATTATCTCTGTCTCTAGAAACCCATTTTCTCCCTCTAAAACCCAATCACTCTTTCTCCCTAAAAACCCATTCTCTCTAGAAATTCAAGATTACTTTCTCTCTCTAAAACCCATTTTCTCTCTCTAAAAACCCGATATGTCTTTCTCTCTCTAAAAAATCAATATTTCTCTCTCAAGAAACCAATCTCTCTCTCTTTCTAAAAACTCATTCTCTCTAAAAACTCAATCTCTCTTTCTCTCTTAAAATCCTATTCTCTCTCTAAAAATCAAATCTCTCTTTCTCTTTCTAAAACATATTTTCTTTGAAAACCTAATCTCTCTCTCCGTAAAAATCCATTCTCTCTCTAGAAATCCAATCTCTCTTACTCTCTCTAAAAGCATATTATCTCTGTTTTGAAACCCAATCTCTCTGTCTCCCTAAAAATCCGTTCTCTCTCTAGAAACACACTCTCCCCCTCTAAAAACACATTCTTTATCTGGTAACCCAATCTCTCTTTCTCTCTAAAAATCCATTCTCTCTCTAGAAATTCAATCTCTCTTTCTCTCAAAAAATCCATTTTCTCTCTTTGAAAATCCAATCTTTCTTTTTATCTTTACCCAATCCCTCTTTCTCTCTCTAGAAACATAATCTTTCTTTCTTTCTCTAAAAATCCAGTCTCTATTTCTCTCTAGAAACCCAAGGTCTCAATCTCTCTCTAGAAATCAATCTCTTTTTTTCTATCTAAAAATACGTTCTCTCTATAGAAAACCCAATCTCTCTTTCGCTCTCTAAAAATCCATTTTCTCTCTAAAGACCCAATATTTTTTACATTTTTTAAAATAAATTGTCTTAAATTTCCTTAATGGGCTACGGGCTGGGCTCCAATCTCTCTTTTCGGGCGGGCAGGCTTTTCGGGTACTTTTGGCCGGGCCTTACAAGGCCTAGCCAAAGCATTTTTGGGCCAAGCCCGGTTCGATGGCAGCCCCAGACACCCAATTATTTTATAGAAATTGGAATCATTCCTACATAGGTGTGATTCCAATTTCTTAGATTTTGGTCACTTTTTATGGATACTTACTTTTGTTATGAACCAAAGGTAAGAAATTAGTTACTTTCTAAAAAAATAATTTCTAAAAAATCATTTTCATGCGAACCAAATATGCCCTATGCGAACCAAATATGCCCTAAGGGTGCATAATAACTTCTAGTAGTTGGAAGTTTCAGTTTATTATAGCACAGAAAGTATAGTTATTAAGATCGGAGCACCAGACTGAATTGACAATTGGTTGCCTTGATCAATGTGGTCCAAAAAAAAATATGTATTTCACCATAAATCGATTGATATCAATATTTGACCAGTGGTGGCCCGTCAAACCAGTTGGTTTTACCCACTCGGATTGGTTAAACAAAATTGATCGTTTTTTAATATATTTTATATTTTAAATTTATTCTTATTATCTTTTTATTTTTCAACATCCCTTCCGATTGTTTCAATTTGCAGTCAAACCGATTTTAACTGAACTAGAGTCATCGTCGGTTTCGGCTTAGTGGCCACAAGCAACTAACTCTAGGAAGTTCTAGTTTCTCAAAATATCATAACATATTCCATGGAAGCTGGCATATCCCATCTTAATGAAGTACCCCTCTCGCCTTTTTTTTTGCTTCTCATCCTCTCTCTCTCACTCCTTTCTCTCTCCATTCATGTGCTATATCTCTCTCTCTATGTAACCGTGCCCTCTCTCTAACTTCTCTCTTTAATTGTGCTCTCGCTCTCTCACGCCACGTCTAAATGTGACTTCTTTCCCTAATACAACCCAATCCAGCTCCTTCCTTTCTGGTTGTACCATTTCTCTTTTTAACTCTCTATCCCCTTTCAGTCATTTTCTTTCTACTAACCGCATCCTTTCTCTCTCTAGGTGATTTCTCACTCCTAAAGTCCTCTCTCTGGACTAGTTCCATTCTCTCTCTAAAGGTGTGATTATTCTGTCCATAACTCCTTTCTCTCTCTAACCAAGTCCATTTCCCATCTTTAATTTCTCTCTCTGGCTAGCTCCTTTCTCTCACTAAATGTCATTTTCCTAACTCTTTTCTCTCTAAGCACTCTCTATAACCATGTCCTCTCTCTCTCTCTCTCTGAATCTGTGAAGCCTAATCTCTATGAAAGTTAGTTAGATCACCATCAAACCCAATCTTTGTATTTGAGAACTTCTAGATAGGGTATTAAACAAGTATACTAGAATTTGCCAGGTATTAGCAATTTCAGTATCTAAGGACCCAGAACTTCTGGTTTTCAGGGTATCCCTGCTTCTAGTTATACCAGAGGATGGAAAGTTAAAAAGTTGGGAGCAGGTCAACAAAGTCCAACCCATCTATCTCAAGTACTAAGCAAATCCACACCAGTACACGCTCCATTCAAGAATGTATGTATTGATAGTCTTATTTCTTTTATAAACCACTACGGATAAGGCAGCCATGGTAAATGAAAAATATTAAGATTACCAGTGAATCATGTACTTGACTGAAGTGATCTATGCTGCTCAGGGAAACACATAATGGCCCTTTGTATTTACATTGAAGTATTATGAAATATTCAAAATATATAAATGCAAGGATCTCGGGTGTTTGTGGGAACTCGGATTCAATCTTCAGTCAGGGACCAGTTTTGGAGTAGAGAGAAAGTTTACTGAAGGGTCTCGATGAGGCTGGAAACCGGTGTTGCCAACAAACCAGAAGAGAACCCATTTCAGGTTGCACAAAGTGTACTTCAAGGCCTTGGTCCAATTCTCTGGCTTGTTGAAGCTCATAATGATGCTGTAATTTTCCACTTTGTCATTTTCAATCCTGCCATATGTATCCCTTAGTTTGATATTAATTCCTAATCAAATTAGTGGCTATTTAGAAAGCATCATGAGAATAAGTCAAATTTCAAATAAGAAAAAGCTGAAAAAGATGATTTGAAATTCAAGGTGATCGTGGAAAGACATCGAGAAAATAAAATGAAAGTCGATAAAAATATAATGTTGAGGGAATTATTAAAGAGAAAATGAATGAATGGGATGACAAGAGAGTATATGTATGTTCAGTATTTTCAATAGGTACTTGTTCACCTAATGCTGCACATGCATTAAATATTGAGAATTGCGCAAGAGTATGTCAATCCGCTGTTGTATCATAATGCAAAGGAGAACCTCTGATATTGATATATAAATCACATTAGGGATTGTACATATGACCCTAGCCATCATATATACATATTTGGAGGTAATTTCTGCCTCCCAAGCTATCTTTATTACATGCGTAAGATCTGTCTCTAAGTTTTGTGTACCGCACAATGGACATATTATTCATAATTGAATCTTTTCATTTTGATTCAACCGGGACTCCTACCTCAATCTGGACAAGCTCAACTGCAAATCCAAATTGAGAATTTTCTGGATGGTGGGTTCCCTCACTTTAGTTACCCGACCTCGAGACACTCAAATTCCATCTTAACTCACAATGTGAATAACAGTACTATTTGAAGAATAAAACTAAAAGGATGAAACCATAAATTTTGACACATGTAACTAATCTCTCGATTTGTTAGGTGTTATAGACCACTATTGTTTTATGAGAGAATTGTCAGCAAGCACTTGGTCACAATATATTTTGCTTAAAAGTTATCAGGCAACAAAAAAGCCTACTGAACAAAAACAACCATATCATGAATTCCTTTGTCATAGAAAATAATAAATAAAGATATCTATTAGATATTAAAAAAAAAAACAGAAAATTATAGAAAGAAGATTGACTATATTTGATAATTTTACATACACAATCGAAGAAAAGAGAAACAAGAGTGTACTTGTAAGGAAGCTTGAAGCAGTCTTCTAACGGTATGCCGCTTTCTTTATCCATAGAATTTGCGAACTCTGCAAAATCCTTGAGGCAAGCCAAAAACAAAGTCATTGCTGTGTCATAGCGGGAACTCCAAAATATGTTCACTGGACCAAACCTGGAAAGAATTGAGGCGCAAGTAAGTGATTCTTGACAGTGAAACAGCTTTCAACTTACTGTTAAGCTTAGAGCAGCAGGAATAGTCTGATATAAAGCTAACATGTAGAAGCTGTCAACTCATCACATTCATCTTTCTCGAGAACAATCAAGCAATGATCGCAGTTAGAAACATTATGAATCAAAAGGATGAGCATGAATAAGACAATGTAATTGTCCTTGCTAAAATATACATAAAATATTGTCCACTTCTACAAAAGGGACACATAGAGAACAGCTCTTCCCATACAGAACTGCCAAAATGCTCACCTTACAACAATTTAGAAAATGTGGATTTAACTGGCATACCGAAGGCAGTGCCTAGGCGGCCAGGGGAATCTAGCCTCCTAGGCACCCCCCTTGCCCTGTTAGGAAGTTTACCTCTTCCTTGAGGCTGCCCAAGACAGCAAGGATGGGGCAGGGTACCTAGGGGATTGGAGTTCTAGGGAAAAACAAAATGCAAAAATTAACCTTGATAAACCCATAATGTGTTGGACATTGGTTTGATACAAACGTTTGACGCTAAGTGGCTTAAAAGCACATCTTTTAACCCTCCTTGATGTTATAACACCAACCCAATCACCTTCAGATCGAACCAAAATCTTCAAAATTAAGAACGAAAAAAAAAATTGAAATCTCAACAATCTCACCAAACACTAGTTTTTAATGTGTTTAACACAAAAAAACCTAGTATTTTGTGTGTTTTGGGGTAGGAGTCCCACCCCCAATATATTGTGCCTTTAGAAGAGGGGAAAATAGCCTGAAATGCTCTTTACCCAAGGGCATTTTCAACCCTTGGATAGGGGTGAAACAAAGGAGGGTGGCTATGCTCAGATACTATGCGCAGGCATGCGGCCAGGCTGCCCCATCGAGCCCCCTCTGACCACCTCAAGCCGACGCCTAGGAGGGTCAGGCCCCCACTTTTTGGATGTGTTGTTCATAGGGGATCTCCCAAAAAAGTGGTCACTCCAAATCCAGAAGCTCAATCCTGTCGTCCAGAATAAGGGATCTCGATTCCATACATTTTTTGAAATTGGGGATCTCAATCCGCAAAATTGAGGTTCTAGATTCCTGGTTAAGGGATCCATATTCCTCTCATCTAAATCATGGGTCCATGAGTAAATGGAATTAAGCGTCCACCAACGTAGAGTTGAATATTATACTGAAGATCACAAGCACATTTCGAGTCTCATGCACTGACCGCCCCCTCTCCCCCGACCATCCTCTCTCTAACTCCCAAGACCATAATCTCTCTCTCTCTCT